AAAAGAATCCTTTTAGAATTTGGAATGCTTAGAGGTGTGTAATCCAGGCTCTGGTGCAGGACCAATGGTGAATGGCCAGTGCTCACGAGGAAAGCAGCTGCGTTTGCTGAAGACCACAGGAAGCTGTGCTCAGGGTGAGGGCGAGCTGATGGAAGACATGGCTAGAAGACGTGGCGCGACTGTGGAAGGGGTGCAGGATGAGGGAAAGCAAAAGCACAGCGCACAGGGAGCTCAGCAGCACCCCCCCCCCCGAAAATCGGGCTTCGGATCTGAAGGACCTGCACCCGTGCCCAGCAGCTCCCGAGTCTCTAGGTGTGCCAGACAGGAAATACTGATGGAATACTGATGGGGCTGGAGAGATAGCTCACTAGAAGAAGCACTTGCCTGGCAAGCGCAAGGTCCTGAGTTCAATCCCCAGTACTGCCTCCCCCCCCAAAAAAAAAAAAAAAAACTGATGGGATGCAGTGTCACATCAAGTCCTCTAAGTGCAAGCCCGTGCCAGGATCCTAATCACATGCATGAGACTTAGTGTTTACTCAGGAACCCACCATAAGGTTGGAGTAGGACAGAAGGGACTAAGATCAGACCAGGGGACCCAACACGCATGCGCTCTCCCCTAGCACTTCAGGGATTACTGGGGTTTCCGTTTATGGCATGCTCGACCTCTCTCATGACAAGTGACTGAGGAATGGCACCAGGTGCCCTTTAGAACTATGTGGGTGGTAACTGTACTGCTATCTCTGACCAGTTCTATGGCACCAAGGTAGCCTGTCACCCAACACGATCTAGGTAGGCACCCAAAGTTGGAGGTGGGGAACCTTTACTGGACTAGGGGTAGATGCATCCCACCCATGGAATAGACAGCTGGTTAGCTGACTTCCAACACAGACAAAGAATTTTCAGGATATCTCAGTGTGAGAGGCATGAAGAGATTTATTAAGCAGGACTGTAAACATGCACACTCAAGTGCAGGTCCTCGGAGGGAGAGAGGTGCCTTGTGGCCTTGAGCTGAAAATGCTTGGGTGAGACCCAGAAAATAGGGCTGGGCAAGGAGGTAGGTAAGATGACAGGATGCAGAACTCTCGCGAGAACTCCTGCAGGTTTTCCATAGGACAGCCTAAACCTGACATCAGCCTGAGGAGTCTAAGGTAGAAAAAGGACAGTCCATGTTGAGGTTTTGGCACTGTTTTCTCTTGCATGGTGGCTGCCCTCACGTTGTAGGGAGTGGTGGTGAACCTATGGCACATGTGCCACGGTGAGCTGTTTGGATCACTGGAAGCTCCAGAAGGTTCGCTGTAGGTACGTGCCTACCTTACTGGGCCAAAATTCACTCTATAGGCCTCTTTTCCTATTCTCAATAAAACTTTCCTACACGATGTGCTTGACCTGTTCTTTGCTTGGGACAGAAGGAACCTAGAAACCACCTCCAGAAGGAGATTCCAGGACCCCAAAACCCAGTCACATGGGATTTGGGGGTGGTCTAAGGTGGGTTACCGCCCATATGTATTCTAGTGTCTATCAGGATTTGCTCATTTGGTGAATGTTAAAATGCAACCATTATATGTATTTAAAGCTGAGATCTGCTGTCCTGTTAGCAAAAGTGGCTTCCTGTGGATAAAGTTGTTCAGGGGAGTATAATTCCAGACCCAGAGGCTGGTTTACAGACTTACTATCTTTAAGGCCTTTAAAATTTATTATTATTATTTTATTTATTTTTGTCTTTTTGAGACAGAGTTTCACTATGCAATGGAGGCTAGCTTTGAACTGACTTTATAGCCCAAGCTGGTCTCAAATTTTTTTTTTTTTTTTTTTTTTTTGCAGAACCAAGGATTGAATTCAGGCCCTTGCACTTGCCAGGGAAGCACTTATCCACTGAGCCATCTCCCCAGCCCCTTGGTCTGGAACTTGTAATGATCCTCCTGCCTCAGCCTCCTGAGTGCTAGGATTACAGGCGTAAACCACCACACCTGCCTATTATTATTATTATTATTATTATTATTATTATTATTGAATCTGGAATCAAACTTAGGATCTTGTGCTTGCCAGGCAGACACTGTGCCAGTATATCCCCAGGCCTGGAATTCTGTCTGAAAGGAAAAAAGCTTGAATAACTTTGTGTCCTGAAGTTGCAGAATTTGCGGGGGAGGATGTTTGTTTCTTTGGTTGTGGTACCAGGGATCACGCTTGCCAGCAGGCAGATGCTCATGTCACTGAGCTATCTCCCCACCCATTGTTTTGTTTTTGGTTTCATATATATATATATATATATATATATATATATATATATATATGAAACCAAAAATATATGCATATGAATATATATATATATATATATATATATATATATATTATTGAGAAAGAAATAGCATTGAGGGGCTAGGGAGATGGCTCAGTAGAAAAAGCGCTTGCCAGGGAAGCACTTATTCTACTGAGCCATCTCCCCAGCCCTGAGACAGCTTCAAAGCAGGTTAGTAGGATAGTTACAATAATTAATACATTGCATATTGTTGTCTTCATAGTAATTATTCATAGTACAAGATGCAGATATGATATCTTGTCTAAACACTATTAGTATAAATCTTTCTTCTCATTGAACTAAGAGAAAGTAGCTGTTGTTTTTCAGCTTTTTAAGATAAGAGTCTTGCTAAGTAATTCAAGGTTAGCCTTGAGCACCCTTTGTAGCCCAGGGTGGCCTCAAATTCATGGTAATCTTCCTGCCTCAGCTTCATGAGTGTTGGGATTATAGGTGTGTTCAGTTTTTCTTAAGTACAATTTCAGTATTACAATTTTTGTCTCCTTTATATTTATTTATTTTTGCGGTACCTGGGATTGAACTCAGGACCCTGCATTTGCCAGGCAAGTGCTTATTCTACTGAGCTATCTCCCCCGCCCACATCACAACTCATTTCCTTCTAGCCTGGGTGCCTGTGTTGGGGCAGATAAGGACCCGCCAAATAGCTCATCTTTTAATTTTTTTAAAATTTATTTTGTGTGTGTGTGGCTAGTTCAGCCCACCAGGGGGCGGGGCGGGCTGGCATGTGGTGCTGGGGATTGAACTGCAGTCCCTGTGCTTTTGCTCAGCTTGTTCTAAGTAGGTGCTTTAGACCACTGAGCCATCTCATCAGCCCAAAATTTTCTAGAACCGGGGATTGGCTTGTGCTTGCCAGGCAAGTGCTATATTTTACTGAGCTATCTTCCTGGCTAGATAGGGGGCCTGGCCCTAGCTCAGGCCTTTAAGTGGCTGCTTCCACAAAGCTGTCAGCCTCAGGTTACTGGAGTTCGAACCTCACACCTCTCCCACTGGCCAAAAGTGCCCTGAAGGCATTCGAGCAACAACAACAACAACAAAAAAAAAATCCTTCCTGGCTAGAAAGAATTTTTTTTCTTTTTCTTTTTTTTTTTTGGCAGAACCGGGGATTGAACTCAGACCCTTGCACTTGCCAGGGAAGCACTTATTCCACTGAGCCATGTAATCCCAGCTCTTGGGAGGCTGTAAACAGGTGGATCACTATGAGACTGATCTAGTAGTGAGATCCTAAACACCCTGTAGACCCTTCCCTAAAATAAAAAAATAATTTTAAAAAAAGCTGATATAACCCTGGATTAGTAGAATTTTACTTAGATTTTTTTGAGACAGGCTCTCATTACTAACTCAGACTAGTCCTGAACTCACTATGCACTCTAGGCTTACTTTCAGTGATCCTCCTGCCTCAGCCTTCCCAGTGCTAGGACGACAGGCATGCACTACCATGCCCTGCTCAGGGCCATGAGTATTTTCATGGGCAGATGTTGGCTATTTTCCTATATCCAAGGTTTTCATAAATCCAATCCAAGGGCACTCACAGCCAATAGTGATAGTTGGTGTTTACTCTAAGCTTATTTGACAGAGGCTAGATAAATTTCTAGTAAACTACAGATCTGTCAAGATTCCAACCCAGGTTTTAAGATACAGTAGCTTGGGGGCTGGGGAGATGGCTCAGTGGAATAAGTGCTTCCCTGGCAAGAGCCTGAGTTCAATCCCCCGTTCCACAAAAGAAAAGAAAACAAAGAAAGAAAAAAAGAAGATACAAGTAGCTTGGCCAGGGCTCCTTGTATCCTGTTAAATCACCTTTTAGAAACCGGGGAGATGGCTCAATGGAATACGTGCTTCGCTGGCAAGCACAAGGGCCTGAGTTCAATCCCCGGTTCCGCCAAAAAAAAAAAAAAAAAAAAAAAACACTTTTTAAAAAATTGAAAAAAAAAAAAAAACCCTAGGGGCTGGTGAGATGGCTCAGTGGTCTAAAGCACCTACTTAGAACAAGCTTAGCAAAGCACAGGGACCACGGTTCAATCCCTCAGTCCCACATGCCAGCCAGCCGCGCACCCTGGTGGGCTGAGCTGGCCACACACACACATGCACACACACACAAATAAAAATAAATTTAAAAAAATTAAAAAAAAATAAATCACTTTCCAAGGTTTACCTGAAAATAATTAATGAGCAGGGCCTATGTGGAAACAAGACTCCTTACCTTGGTACTTGCTATATCTGGCGCTCCCCACATCCATTCTGCCCCTTTTGATTTTAGGGACAAATTTCTTCTAAACTCACGGCATTGTACAGCACTTTTTTGAGAGTATGTCTTGTCTCTTTAAGGTCTTGGGTGACGTAATGGCTAACCCTTCCCACTGCCCTGTTTTAAACCCTGCCCACTGTTTTACAGCCTCCGCTACATCCGGGTTCCTGGGACTCGGAAGTTGGCCTGGTAACCAGGCAACGCCTAGTCGGCTTGTCCCAGGGTAGGCCCGCCATTCACCTAGAGGCGATTCTTCGCGTCCTAGGTGCTAGCGTAGCCCAGGCGCTCCTCCCCCTTCCCCCGTTGCCATAACAGCAGTACACAACCCTACCCTTTTTTACGTTTTCACCTCTTCCAAATCAATCCTTCGTTTTGGACCAAGGCCCTCCGCACAACTGCTTCCAGTTGAGAAAAGCAGTGTCTTCGCCTTTTTGGGAAGGGGAATTGAGTTGGAAGGGCAGAGGGAAATGGGGGAAAGTTAGAAAGGTCTGGGCGTCTGGGAGGGCATCTTGAAGGGAGGAGGCTGTGTATGGAAAGTGTGAAATGGAGGCCAGGAGTCAACAGGAGATGTTTGCAAGGGGAAGTGTAGTTGGGAGTCCGGTAAGGGTGGTGATGGGCAGGTACTCGTCAATAGAGGAAAGGGAGCTGGGGGTTGGTGGAAACCTAGACCTTCTTTCTCAGGAGGACTGCTTCGCTTCATCTGACACCAGAATCTTCCGGCAAGGAGAAAGATGTCAGACGAAGAAGATGTGGACGACTTGGAGCCAGAACAGGATGATCTGGAAAAAGAGGATGATAAGGATACAGAGGAGTGGGAAGACTACAGAAAAGAGGGGGAAGATGCATCTGAGGAAGTGAGGAGAGCCTGGAAAGGGAGGGCTCCTGGGCTGAGGGCCGGGAGCACTGGAGGAGACACCTTAAACCCTTCCCTCCTGCAGTGGCTGCCCTTGTCCCTGACAGAGGAGATGGTGAAGGAAGGGCTGTCTATGCTCTGTAAGACGGGGAATGGACTGGCTCACGCTTATGTTAAGCTGGATCTTAAAGACAGGTGTGTTATGGGGAACAAAATGACCCAAGACTGAGAGAGTGAATCCCCATCCGCTTTCCCATTCCTATCCCTGGTGTTTTGGTGGAAACTGGATCTCTCTCATCCTGGCCCAGTGGGCAAGGGAAGAATGGGATTTACTTTTCAGGATCTGTAGGTCTCCCTGGAGTGGGGAGACGTCTCTATAGCAGAGTACTTGCCTAGAGTGCAGAAGGCACTGGGTTCATCCCCAGCACCATAAAGCACACAAACTCTAGACCTCTGAGAAATTGGAGAGAGGGAAGGAGGCAGAGGGAGAGAGGGAGAGAGGGAGAGAGGGAGAGAGGGGGAGAGAGAGAGAGAGAGAGAGAGAGAGAGAGAGAGAGAGAGAGAGAGAGACTGAGACTCAGTGGTAGAGCACTTACCCAGTATGTACAAGGCTCCAAGTTCCATTCAGGGCGCGCACACACACACACACACACACACACACACCCCTTTCCTTTGTCACCCTTCCCATCTGTTACCCATTCCTCTCTCCATTGCCTTTGCTTTACCCAGTTGCCTTTTGCTTTAGCACTTATGTAGTTTTCCTAATTCTTTTCCCAACCTCTCCGTGCATCTCCTAGAGACCTGACAGACATTTCCCTGTTGTGTTCCTTTATCCATCTGCGCTATGTGGATATCTCTGAGAACCACTTGACCGACCTGGCGCCACTCAGTAACCTCACCCACCTGCTGTGGCTCAAGGCCGATGGCAACCAGCTCCGGAGTGCCCAGCTGAATGAACTGCCCTACCTACAGATTGCCAGTTTTGCCTACAACCAGATCACGGACACTGAAGGCATCTGTCATCCTCGGCTCACAAGCCTGGATCTCAAAGGCAGGTCCTTACAAGGAGCTGTGGATGACTCATTGCATCCTAGTCTAGGGCTAACAGAAGTGGGCAGTGTGGCCCTTCTTTGAGCCATATAGCAATCTGAATTCATTCATTCATTCATTCATTCATTCAGACAAAAAAGAGCTAGAGACATAGCTTAGTGGTGATGCTTAATTACCATGTATAAAGCCCCTGATATTTTTTTTTTTTTTATTGAAACATAGTCTTGCTGTGTAGCTCACGGTGGCCTTGAACTCACTATGTAGACGAGGCTGGCCCTTGCACTTGCCTGGGAAGCGCTTATTCTACTGAGCCATCTCCTGGGTCCCCAGCCTCAAATTCATAGTGATCCTTTGCTTCAATTCCCAGTATTGGAGCAAAAAAAACAAAAAACAAAAAACCTATTCCCTCACAGTTTATTTTCTAGTTGAGGCAGACAGATAATTAACAATGAACACAATAAATAAGTACATTAATATGATACACAAAGAGGAGATACCTGCTGTGGGGAAAGCCAAACAGGAGGCATATAAGAGGCTATTTGAGTCAGGTTGGTTAGAACATGCATCACAAAGACTGCTCAGGAGGTAAACCTGTCCACTGGCTACATGTGGCTCGGCTTAGAGGCAGAGGCTAGAGCTGTCCTTTCTCAGCATCTTTCCTGTGTTAGGGGTGGGGGCTGTTAAAATTCAGGCTGTATGCTGAACATTGAGGTGGTCCTTGGAGTGCTGATCTCCTCCCCCTAGGGAACCGAATCCAGGTGGTGAATGGTCTGGACCCTGAGAAGTTGAAAAGCCTGCACACCCTGGAGCTCCGGAGGAATCAGCTGTACACCACCGTGGGAATCAACCTTCCTAAGCTGAAGAAGCTCTTTCTGGTAGCTCCCTGGGCCACAGGGTGGAATGGGAATGAGGATGCTTGGGTTCTCTGTCTGTCTCTGTCTCTGTCT